CAACAGTTGATCATACCACAAAAACAATTGCAGAAACAGAACATCAAGATGAAATACCATCAACAGATTTACGTATGGAAAATGCTCAACAAGTAGAAAGTGTAATATCTTCGCCGGTAACCACTTCAGAAGAAGAAATACTAAAATCAACAGAACCATCATTTACTATTGACACTACTAAGAAGACAACTTTGGAACATTATCAACCATCATTAGATGACACAAGAAATGAAACTGAAGTTGAATCTAGTACATCTGACGCATTAACCGAAACTGTTCGTGAAATTCTTGCTACACCACTATCTGTTCATTTACCATCAGTCGGTTCTAAAATAGAAAAGACAACTATACAAACTGAAGAAGAAGGTGAAACATTACCATCACAAACATCTACTTCAATATTTGAACAAATAACAACAACCACAACCACAACAGAAGAACAGCAAATACCACAGAGAGATATTCAACATGATACAATTGAATCATCAACGAAAAGACCATCGATTACTGAAACTGTTCAAGAAACAGTTATTGAAGATCATCAACCATCAACTGATGATAAAACGAAAGAAATTGAAGCTGATCATCTATCATCCGAAGCATTGACTGAAGCTGTTCGAGAAATTCTTGCTACTCCACTTACTGTTCATCTTCCATTTGTCGATAATACAATTACAACAACAAGCAAAACACAACAACAAAATGAAATACCATCAGTTGATTCATCGACACAAATTCAGGAGCAAATATCAATCACAATGCCAGAATCAGAAACAACAGATATGAAAGATGTACAACCTGAATCACATAAAGTCACCGTTGACACTGAAACTGAACAAGAAAAAATTACTGAAGGTTTAACAGAAGAAACTGAAGCTGAACGTCTTTCATCAGAAGCATTAACAGAAACTGTTCGTGAAATCCTAGCTGCACCACTCACTGTACATTTGCCATCTGTTGATGTCAAATCCGAAACTGAAGAGTCCAACGAGAAACCATCTCAAGAACAGTTACCAACAAGTATGCTGGAATCTACATCAAAACAAGATATAGTTACAGATCAAATTCCAGTTTCACAAGATACAATTGAACATGAAACAGTATTAGAGACGCAACAACCTATTTTGGAGACAACTACAACAACAACAACTACTATTCGTGAAGAAGAAACAACTTCTGACAGACACTTACCATCGAGTGTACGCAAAGAATCAAGAGAAGAAGTTGTGTCGACTGAGTCTCTTACTGAAACTGTTCGTCAAATTCTTGCTACACCAGTACCTGTCCATCTTCCATCAGTACCTACAAGAGAAGTAGAACAAATATCAGAAACAGATAAAGTGGAACCACGAAGTAAATCATCATCTATTACTGAAATTGTGCAAGAAAGAACATCTAAAGACACAACAAAAGAAGTTGAAGCTGAACATTTATCATCAGAAGCATTGACCGAAGCAGTTCGTTTAATCTTAGCTACACCACTTACAATTCATCTTCCTTCTGTCGATGCCAAAACAGAAACTACTAAAGAAAATGAAGAACCATCAACAGCTGTTTCGACGGAAGATACACAAAAGATCGATTCAGTTTTAGAGAAACCGACAATTATAACTCATAGTGTCAAAGAAACAACTACTGAAAATGAAGAATCCAATGTTGAAGATAAAGTTATACCAACTGATGTTAGTCAATCATCTGATTCTTTAGTTGAACTCACTCATGAAATTATCACTACATCACCTGTTGATGATAAATCAAGAACAACAACCATTGAATCTCAAGAAGTGATACCATCATCAGATTCTCTTGCTGAAATTGCTCATCAAGTATTTGCTTCACCAGCTAAATCTACACACACCAAAGAAGTAAGCAAGCAAGAAAGATCAACTATTCAATCACAATCTAGTGAATCGATTGAAGAAGAATCATCTACAAGTAAATCAACATCATCTGACAGCGATCAAATTCCACTTCGATCAACTTCAACAGATATAAATGAAGAACAAAATGAAGAATCGTTTCTCCAAGATAGTACTTCAAGTTCAGAAAACAAAACAGTCTCCGATGAATCACAATCTTCATTTCGTCCACTTATTTCTTCAACATCTGCATCAGTTTCGGAAGATGAATCATTCAATGATGATAACAATCAATCCCTTTCTACATCATTATATGCTACAATTAAAAGTATTGTTAACGGTGCTATTGATGATGCATGTAATTCACTTGAACAATCAATTTCACTTCAAAGTGATAATCAACCAGTGATATCAGTACCAATAATATATGATTCAACTATAAGAGATGATTCTGAATTAACTCCAACCAAAGATACTACCAGTGAATTATATAATGATTATTATTCAACATCTGGACTAACAAATATTGTGAATAGTATAGTAAATCTTCCAAATAAAACTTCATCAGAATTATCTGCTCCACATGAAGATAACGAAATAATTCTTTCTTCTAAACCTGATTTTGATGATCAAGTTGACATTACTGAACTTTCTAATATCATTGATACAGCTACGAAACGATTAAATACTCCAACAAGTACACCAGAACAATCTGAAGTATCTGAACCAATATCTCCACACCGAGCCAGTGCCGTTCACTCGTCATTGATCATTGATGATCAGGATAATATTAATGCAGATGATCATCCACCAATATTTTTTGTTCCACAAGCATCAACTCCAACGGGAAAAACCTTTCGAGATTTGTACGAACATCGATATTTTGCACCGGAAAATGATGAAGAATCATCGACAGATTTCGCTCCATTGGATAGAGAAGAATCAGTTCAATCTGCTACTCCTACTACATCAGAAGAAAAACGAATTGTTCCTGATTTACCTTTAGCATATTATGAATTATTAGAACAACGACATACATTAATGTCTCCTCAACAATCAACTGATAATGAAAAACTAGAAACAACAACTCCTTCATTAACAACATGGACAACGGTTCAACCAATGACTGGTTATGAAAAAATAGAAAAGAAACAAGAAATATCGGAAATAAATCTTGATGATAATTCTTATGAATATGCTCGACGTTTTGATTTAGAATCACCTTCAATTATATCAAATTTACCTACAAGAGAATATCGACAAGTTTTTGGTATACCCGATGACATTGTTAATGCTGTTGATGATATTACATATCATATTGATCAAGTACTATCAAAGGAATCCGATGATAAACAGCAACCAATTACTTCAGATGAAGCAGAAACTCTTTCGTCTACATCGGATGAAAAATCTGAAATCGAAGAAATTTCACCTATCTCGGATAATGTTAAAAGAATTACAGAAGCACTCGATGCACTTGAATCGGATATAATTCAACAAGAAGATATTACACAATATCAACAACAAAGTCAAACATCAAAAACAGTTGAAGGTTTAATTGATGAATTAGATGTAATCGAATCAGATCTTCGTTCAACAACTCTTAATGATGATATTCGACATACACTTGAAGATCATACGACTGTTTTTTCATCTAAAGATGAACTTGTTGATGAAGATTTATTACCAAAAACAATTGAACAAGAACATTTTCATGATATATCGAAAGATGAAACTTTATCAAATACTGAATTAGATTCACGATATTCTACATTGCTTGATCATATTGATAGTTTAGAAAAAACACTACTTGAATTTCAACCATCTCCATCATCAATTAATGAAACAGTAACAATAACAACAACAACAACAACAACAGATATTAAAAAGGACAAGGAAGATGCTACTCATACTGAACAACAAATAAGTACATTAGAAGATGGCAAACCAGCAGAAAGTGATGTTAATATTAATGATCTGGCTAAAACTATGGAAGGAATACTCGCTACACCTGTACGAACCATTATTAATCCATATGAAAAAATAGCTCATGAAGAACATATAACTCATTCAGGTCTTGAAACAGCTCTCGAACAAATACTTGCAACAACTCACTATCCATCAAAGTATACAAAATTAATTCCACCAATCGATACAATAAAATCTACTGATGAGTTGAAAGATCAACATGAAGAAATTCAAACAGAGCAATCTAAAGATATTTCAACAACTCACTATCCATCAAAGTATACGAAATTAATTCCATCAATCGATACAATAACATCCACTGATGAGTTAAAAGATCAACGTAAAGAAATTCAAACAGAGCAATCTGAAGATATTTCAACAACTGCTGATCAAAAAGCTATTTCGAATGAAGAAGTAATAACACCAGTTGAAGAGAAAGATTCAGCTAATATATTGGATAAAGCTACATCCATCGTAACCGACATTATATCTAGTATCACTCATGTTTTACCGACAACTACAACTGAAGAAACAACTGTATCTACTAAAGAAGATATTACATCTGAAGTTCCTACAACAGAAGTAGACGAAACTATAAAGAGTGAGAAGGTATCTATCAGTCCAGTTGTAATTGAAGATAAAACAAAGGTCATAGAAAGTGATGCATCAGAACAGCACTCAACAACAGGTCTAGTAGAAATAATGAAGAATTTATTACCATCGAGCCTTCAATCAATTATATCAGATAGCATTAGCACTGACGAATCAACTGTACCTGCCGAAGAAGATGATGAAACTGTTTCAACTACTAAAATTGAAACCACTGATGAAATACGCTCGAAAGAAGATGAAACTACAACTGCACAACCAATATTCGATATTCAACAAACAGCAGAAGTATCAAGTACATTGCCAAGTCATGTTAGTGATAGTGATGTTCATCATGTATACAAACAACCAACAGAATCAATAATTGAACACGAAGATTCACCAACTATCAGTGAGAAAACAACATCAATAGTTACTGATACTTTACCAATAACAAAGACTACTGAAGAATCAACTACAACTACTATTGAAACACATGCCTCTAATGAAGTTTCATCAGTTCCAACAGTTACAGAAGAACATGAACCATCATCAATGAATTTAGTAGATATTATGAAGAGTCTAATGCCATCCAGTCTTCGATCAATACAACCTGAAACAATCACTTCAGAACAAGAAGAAGTTGTAGAAGAAAAGAAGACTATCTCTCCTCATATTACAGATACAGTAGATACTTTCGAAACTAATCTTTTGCAAAGCACTGAACCAGTTATGAAACGTGAAGTACAATATACTATTTCGAGTTCAGTACCAGGTTATTTTACTAGTAGTGATGTTTATCATGCATACAAACAACCTGTACAACCAATGAATGAGCAAAAAGATTCAACAACTATCATTGATAAGGCAACATCAATAATTACTGATATTATTTCGAGTGTAACTGATGCTTTACCAATAACAAAGACTACTGAAGAACCAACTACAACTACTACTGAATCACATGTCTCTGATGAAGTTTCATCAGTTCCAACAGTTACAGAAGAACAAGAAGTTGACGATCAACAAGAAGCATCATCAGATGATTTAGTAGAAATTATGAAGAGTTATATGCCATCCAGTCTTCGATCAACAAAATCTGATACTGCTAGCTCTGAAGAACCAGCTACATCAGCTGACGACGAACAAGAAAGTATGTCATCTTCTACGACTGGAACAACAGTAAGATCAGTTTCAGAAGAAAATCTAACAAGAACTACTCAACCGATAGTCGAAGATCAACGGAATGAAGAGATTCTAGCACCAGTACCGGGATATTTTATTAGCAGTGACGTTTATCATGCATACAAACAACCTGTGACACCACAAATTGAAGATAAAGATTCATCAACTATTACTGATAAGGCGATGACAATTGTTTCCAATATCATTTCTAGTGTTACTAGTACTTTACCGACATTAAACGTGTCCGAAGAGACAATCTCTTCAAAAGATACTAGTTCCTCCCAAGAACAAGATATTTCATCACATATCACAACAAATGCTGAACCAACAGTTACAGTCACTGAATCAACAATCGTAAACGACAAGATCTCATCCCCAACGGTGTTAGAAGACGAACACTTGCTTTCTACATCTTCACAAAAAGAAGACATAGAAAGAGTAGATGCTAAACAAGAACAAGAACCATCAACAACTGGCTTGTTTGATATCATGAAAAATATGTTGCCATCTGTAATGCAACCTAAGAAAGACATCAGTGAAACCTCTGAAGACAAACTATCAAGTACAAAACATGATACAGAAATATTTCAAGTTTCAGGTGTGGAAACAACAATGCCAATAATTTCAGAGGATAAACCCATTAAGATAACATCAATTCCAGTTGATTTTCAAGAAGAACAATATGTTTTACCTCCAGTACTAGGTGTGGAAACAACAATGCCAATAATTCCGGAGGATAAACCCATTAAGATAACATCAATTCCTGTTGATTTTCAAGAAGAAGAATATGCTTTACGTCCAGTACCAGGTTATTTTACTAGTAGTGATGTTTATCATGCATACAAACAACCTATACAACCAATGAATGAGCAAAAAGATTCAACAACTATCATTGATAAGGCAACATCAATAGTTACTAATATTATTTCGAGTGTAACTGATGCTTTACCAATAACAAAGACTGCTGAATCACATGTTTCTGATGAAGTTTCAACGGTTACAGTAGAACAAGAACCATCATCAACGAATTTGGTAGATATTATGAAGAGCTTAGTGCCATCTAGTCGTCAATCAACAAAATCTGAGACTATCAGCATTGAAGAACCAACTACATCGACTGAAGACGATCGAGAAAGTATGTCATCTTCTATGACAGGAACAACAGTAAGATCAATTTCAGAAGAAGATCTAACAAGAATTACTCAACCAATGGTTGAAGGTCAACAGAAAGAAACTTTAACTCCAGTACCAGATTATTTTAGTAGTGGAAGTGATACTTACGATGCATTTGATCAATCAGTAGAACCAATGATTGAAGAACAAGATTTATCAACTATTACTGATAATGTGAAACCGATCGATGTCGATACTACTCCAAGCATTACTAGTCCTTTACCAGCAGCAACTCCAAGTGAGGAAGTACTATTAGCTACTGATACAAGTTCATTGAATGAACAAGAACTACAATCACAAGTTGTAACAACTGTTGAAACTACAAGTACAACCACAACTATTGAATCAATTAATCAAGAAAATAAACCGTTACCTTCGGATATGGAAGATAAAGAAATCACTGAATCAAAACCATCTGACAAATCGATAACAAAAGTAGAAGAACCCGAACATCATTCACTAATGAGTGGATTTATTGAAACTATGAAAGATCTTATACCATCGGCTATTCGATCGCGAACATCCACTACAACAAGTACTGAAGAAAAAACTTCACATGTAAGTGATGAAAACGAGATCACATCGAATGTTCCTGAAGAACATTTGATAGAAAGTACTACAACAACTAGAAAAACATCAGAACAAGAAGATGTTTTCAGTCATGTATCAGGTGATGTTGCAGATACTGAGCACTATCGTGAAGAGAAACCAGTTGCTCAAAGAAAAGATTCGACAAGTTTCATTTCTACAATTACACACGTCGTAACAGATGCTATCTCTGCAGTTCAACATGCTTTACCAAGATCGCTTAGTTCAAGTACTGATGACCATTACGAACATTTACCAAAAGAATCACTTGAAGATGATGAAATAGAAGAGTCTGAATCAACAGTAAGTAGAGAAAATATTATTTCAAATAAATATTTTTTTATTATATCTATTTTAGTTACAGACATCAGTATCTGATAAACACGAACATCATGGTATATTGGATTCTGTTATGGAAGCTGCATCAAATGTTATGGAGACACTATCACATCTTTCAGTATTCGAAAACGAACCAACTGCTTCTGAAGTTTCAACTGATACACCAGAAGAATCACGTAATATTGTTGAAGAAAAAGAAAGTTTAACAGAAACTGCAAAAGAAATTCTTACAGCACCTTTACAATCTGCTGTTGATACTTATGAAGAACTAGTTTCTACATCAGAACAACCAACAAGTACAACAACTACCACCGATGTTACTGTTGATCATCTTGAAGATACCAGTCAACATAAAGATATTGATAGCGAAATTGAAGATGTTGATAGATCTGATGAACACGAATCATTTGAAGAAATAACATTACAGAATGAATTTCAAACGAGATCATTTCAACCACTTCAAATTATCGATGATACATATCCATGGTATGCAAGTTATTATACTATTGCTGATGCAGATTCAAATATGGGTCAATTATATAAAAAATTAAGTCATACTCTTGAAAGACTTGAACAACGACCACCACCAACAACAGTTACATTTCAACCTGATCCACATGAAAGAGCTCCAACACCAGATTACGATCATCATGCATTAGTTGATACGAAAGATACACGTGAAAAAGTTCATGAATTAGCTCAACTTAGTACGAAATTTCCAACAACAAATGTTACAGAAAATGAAGAAGGTAATGATGGATTTCAAGTTGTACAACGTCGTAGACGTACATCGTCATCAACAACTCAAGAAAAAACACCACCACCAACATCAACAATAAAAATGACTAGATCAACTGTTAGTCCAGATATTGATCTAGCACCAGTAGTTCTCCAGGGGCGTTCACATACATCAACATCTATTCCATCAGATGTTATACAATCAACTGTTACTACTACTACTACGGCTAGTAAGAAAAAATCTAAGAAACAAAAGAAAGATAAAAAAGAAACAGTCTTGTTTGATGCTCCTGTACCATCAACATCTGATATTAACGAACAAAAACCAGAACTTATACAATCACAAATAGAAGAAGAAGAAACGGTGGAAACAATAGAACCTCAACATGTATTAACATCTACTGGAAATAATACTCCTCAAGTTGAGAAGACATTAGAAGAAATTACAAATGAATTCGACCAACAACAACAACAACATCCAACTATTGATGCATTTAAACAGACACCCATAGAAGAAAGAAATGAACAACAACAACAAACTGATCTTCTATCGACATCAATAAATTTCGATGCTGAAGAAATGAAAATAATTGATGATGAAAAGAATGATTCAACATCTTCCGATGCTTCACAATGGTCATCTCATTCATTTATAGCAGCTGCAGAGAATGAAAAGGTCGATATAGAAACAACTGAAACAATTGAAACAACTGAACCAACTAAAGTAACAGAAACTATCACAATAATTCCTTCTACTGATAATGAGTTGATACAATCAGAAATACCATCTAGTTCACCATCTAGTAAAAAGAAGAAAATTAAACAAAAATCGATTGAAAAAGAAATTGTACAACAAAGTAAAACTCCATCAACACCAGTTGTTATTGAAGAACCTGAAGTAGAATCTAAACCAATTCCACCAACACCAACAAAGACAACTACAACAACAACAACTATTCGTACAAAAGTAGTTACCCAACCAGAAGAAGAAGAAGTTGATGATAATGAAGGATTTCAAGTTGTTCGTTATCGTAAACGTATATCATCGACAACAGGACCTGAAAAAATTTCACCACCAGTATCATCAACAACTACACCTAAAAAACGTCTTAGTACTGATAATGATAAAAGATCAATGAATATTGCAGGACGTCAAGGTGTATCAACATCAACTGTTTCACAAATACCAAAATTAAAGAAAGATAAAAAAGATGTATTTTCGTCCAATCCTCCAACACCTTCATCATCTTTTGATACAGATATTATTCCATCTTCCAGTATCGATAGTCCTCGAGCTAAACAAATTGAACAACAACCAACACTTCAACAAAGAAAGAGTGTTGATGCAACACAACCAAAATCTTTGTTTTCAGAATTATTAACATCCAGTCCTGCACCTTCAGTAGTAACAGAAGAAAAGATCAAACAACAACCAAAAGATCAAGAAACTACTTTACAATCTAAAATTCAACCATTATCAATATCTACTGTTGATACACCAAAAGTATCATCTAAACCTATTTCACCACCGCAATCAAAAGGTACAGTCAAAACAACACTTCGTGCCAAAGCATCAACTTCTCCCGACGAAGAAGATGATGAGGATAATGAAGGATTTCAAGTTGTTCGTTATCGTAAACGTATATCTTCATCAGATAAAACATTACCACCAGTACCACCAAAAACTTCATATAGACAAAATCTTGGCCGCAATATGGATCGTAAAACTGCTGCTATTCGTGGACGCCATGGATCAGGATCTGGATCAGGTTCAGGATCACGTTCTGCACCACGTTCAATTCCAACTGGACAAACTCAGTCTGATAGACGTCAACAAATAAGACCTATGCTAGATCGACAACAACTACCACCTACATCACGTTCGTCAGTTCCTAAAGATGCACAACTTATGTCTTCATCTAGTTTTGAAAGTCCAAAAACAGAACAAAAACAACAACCAATTACTGATAAACGTCAAAGACTAAGTGAATCTTCACTTCGATCATCATCATTTACTGAACAAACATGGAAGCCAATCGAACAATTACAACCAATAGTTGTTGATGAGCCTCGACAACCAACAAATATTGAACCTCAAGTTACTCTTCCTATTACACAACAAAAAGTAACAGAACAAATTCAACCAGAAGAGAAAATGAACACAAAAACATATTTATCAAGTGTAGTTAGTTCATCTCCTGTTGATAGATCAGTTCGTCAACCAGTTGATGAATATCATACACCAATTAAACGTGAAGTTCAACGTGCTCCAGTACAACAAACGGTTCCATCGACAATAACTAAATCAAGAACTATTGAAACTCAAAAATCAACAGCAACTGAAGATGACGAAGATGATGACGGATTTCGAGTCGTACGTTATCGTAAACATGTACCTGCATCACCAACAACAACAACACTTTCTTCACAACATAGTTTTGGTTCTGATACTGCTAAAAAGCCTCCGAAAATACCTAGAAGACAACCTTTAATGCCACCATCAACTGCTAGTACTGTATCAACCACTCCACAAACTATGGTATTAAAGAAAAAATCAACTAAACCAAAGAAAACCAAAGAAGATATTGTAACATCTGATAGTTCTCCATCTACTGATTTTCTTTCATCATCTGCAACTGATGCTGATCTTCGTTCATCATTTAAAAGTGAATCTATAACTAAAAAACCTATCGAACAACTTCCTAAATCACAATCTGAAGATGTTTCTTCTCCTCATTCGGAACAAATAATAACAGAAACTATTACTACAACACATGAAAAAGTTACTAAAGAAGATGAGGATTTAGTGCAATCAAAAGATATAACTGAAACTGTACAAAAACCAACAGATGATAGTTATAAACAATTACAATCAACAGCAACACCAACAGTAACAAGTGCTGATACAAGTGATGAATTATCGAAAAAACCAAAGAAAAAACATAAACGACCAAAACGTGAACCTGCTACATCAGAAATGTCCACACCATCTGAAGAAGTATTAGTTACAATTGATAGTCCTTTAATTACAAAAATAATATCATCACCTAGTCAATCTCACGCACCGGTTACAACTATTTCACCAACATTAGAAGAACAAAGTGATAAAAAATCTGATAGCACAATACCACAAGAAGAAACTCTTTCATCACAATCAATCGAACAAACTACAAATATAGAAGATGAACAAGTAGCTACTGCAACATCACCTAAAAAACCTACCAAACGACGCAAGAAAAAACTACATTCTTTTGATAAACAAGATATCGAAGGCAATGTATTTAGTTCTTCAACAACTAGTACAACAGATAGAGAAAGTAGTAGTACAACTGCAACAACACCTGAAAAAAATACTTCTTTTGATTCATCGACTGACAATCGTGTGGTATTAGATGATGATATTAAACAAGATTCAGAATGGATAACACCTCAAAATAAAAAGAAAAGATCAAAATTAACTGATTCACCAATACATACAGATGAACAAAAATTTACATTTGATTCACATTTCTCGCCGCAACAATCATCATCAGCAGCAGCAGCAAAAATTGAATCCGAAAAAGTAATAGAAGTACAACCTCTTTTACAAAAAGATGATGAACCTCAAATAACAAGTCAATCATCAATAGAACAGCCACCAACTCAATGGGATTCAGAAAATTTAATATCAGAACAACAAGATAAACTTGTATCGTCACCTGAACAAAGTACTGTACAAAAAATAGTCACTCAAGAAGAGCCTATTATCGAACAAACAACAACAACAACAACAGTAACTTCTAAGATTGATGATGAAACCATTGTAGAAACATCAACAAAATCAAAGGAAAGTAGTGAAACTAGTGGTGAAGCTGATTTAAATGCTTATCGTGATCAAACAGGTCGTCTTCGTCGAAAAAAACCACGTAAACATACAAAAAGTTCAAGTAAACATGAAGATGTACTTCCAACTGTTCAATTACAAGCACCTGAAGAAGATAGAATTGATCGAAAAAGTATAAGCGAACATTGGGCTGATGTTTTAGCAACACCAATATCTAGTATTGAAGATGAACCAACAACTACATCTGAATTAATGGTTGAAGAAGAAGAAGAAGAAGAGGAAGAAGATCAAAGATATGAAAATGAAGATGATAGTAAAACAAGTAGTAAATTAGATACATTTCTACCTGAATATATCCGTCAACAAATAAGATCAAGTTCTTCACCACGTTCATCATCTTCAACTAAGAATCGTTCAAAATCATCATCAATTGAACCATCAACATCTATTGTACATTCAACTTCAGCACATATTTTACTACCAACATCATCAAATCAATCAACAAGTGCAGATACATCTGAAAATGAAAGTAATAGACAAAAATCAGCTAATGAAAAAGTTCCTTCAGTAGAAGATTCAAATCGTACTTCAGCAATAAATCAAATAGAAACTATTACAACAGAACATTCATCTTCGTCATCACCAACTAGTACGATACGAAAGAAAAAACAACGACCAAAAATGTTAAAAAAAGATGTCGAAGCTACAACATTATTAACACATGAATTCGATGATACACCATTGACTATAACTGAAATTCATCAAACTTCACCGGTGATACAAAAAGAAGAAGATGAAACAAAAGATGAATCATTTTCATCTAATATACGTGATCAATTTGATTCTATTATATCAACAATATCAGATTCATTTACTGCTGCTGTATCGTCTTTAAAAGAAATAACTACAGATGAACAAGAAACTTTTCAATCGAATGACTCAGTACTACCAATTGATGAAACAGGAACTACTTCTCCTAAAACATCTCCAGAAACAACGACGACAACTACTACTACAACACGAAAATCTTCAACACGTTCACCACGTAAACGTTCGAAACGAGATAGTGGTCCTGACTATGAAAGTTTAACACTTCAATCATCTGTTGATTCTGAACAATCATTTTCTAATATAAAAAATACTTCAACATCGAATGATGAAGAACAATTAGATTCTAACAAAGTTGATACTCATAAACAACATTCAAGAAAACACTTATCATCAGATCGGCAAACATCAAATACCGAAGATGAAAATGAACAACAAGCTATATTAGCTGATGATGATGAAGAAGATAATAAGTCTCTTTCTACACCACTTGCATCATCTGAAGTTAATATTAGTGCAGAGAGTCGATCACCAAGTCAATTAATTACAGCAACTGAAGAATCAACTTCATCAACTATACAACCATCTGAAGAAAAGAATGAAAATGAAAATATATCACTTCCTACAAGTAACGAACCAGAGGTGATAAAAACTGAGACAGAAAATACGACGACAGATGAACAAACAGCAACAACATCCAATGAACAATTACGTGTTGTTCAAGGTTTTCATACATATACACCAAATAAATATCAATACAATCAATATGAAGAAGGACTAACTGCTCCTAATGAACAAATCAAATCTACAACAATAGAAACTGAAACTGAAACCGAACCAGAGACAGATAGTAGTGACGCAATTCTTTCACGTGGCTTTAATCGTTGGTTAAAACAAGGAAATGAAATAACATCAACTTCATCAACTAAAACCGAAGAACCATCAGCAATAGTTAGTGGTTTAACACGTGCTATGCAAAGTCTTATTATTCAACCGGTTGAAAGTGACAATGATGATGAAGAGGAAGAAGATTCATGGAATGGACCAAAAGCAAAAAAACCAACGTATGCAACCGGTATTCCACCTGAAAAACGAATTCATACATCGAATGGATATAATATAAATCACCCACGAAATCTAACAACAACGCCATCATGGTTAATAACTTCATCGAGTGATAATACATATCAAGATGATCCATCAAAATATGATCCCGATGAAGAAGAAGATGATTCAATAAATGATAGTTCTGAAAAACAACAAATATCTCCTCATACAATTAATACACAATTATCAACAACAGAAGAAAGACAAACACATATAAATAATTTAGCTGATGATTTACCATTTCAACCAACTATAAGTAATTTATCATCTTCATCATCATCATTATCATCTGCTGTTAAATGGAATGAAACATCATCACGTCCGGATGATATTAATCAACAACAAACAAGTTTTACTGAAGATGATGTACAACGTTGTCTAGGTGAAGATTTTTATCGAGAATCATTAGCTGCAGATACACTTCAAACTCGGGAACGAAGTTTAAGTAGTTTAAATGATCTTGTTCTTAAACCATCACAATCATCAGAAGACATCGATGATGAAGATAACATTGATGATGATGATAGTCAAAACAACAGAAATAATAATAATAATAATAATAATAATCATCATTCAATGAATTTTGATGAATGGGCACATTTTCTTGAACGTCAAAATAATCCACATATGTTCTTACCATCTGTACCATCTTCGCCAATAATTATACAAAATTTATCACCAACACATGAATGTTCATATGCACGAGTATTAGATGAAGATACTCTTATATCAGACAAAAATCGTTCAAATCTAATAGAACATGAACAATATTCATATGAAAATGAAAGACAACGTTATGGAGATTTTTCACCCTTAAATGATGATTCAGTAGTACCTGAATCAACATCAGAACACCATATATCATCTAGGCAAAAGCCTTCCGAAACATTTCAACGATGGCGAAATCAATCGAATCAAAATCAAGATGAATTAAATTTAAATTCATCAAATCTAACTTCAACTGATACACAAAACGACGATGAAATATTTGTATCTCATTCAGACGGTGGTCTTAGTCGACGAGTGAGACCTTCAACATAACACATTAACTAGTTTTTTTTTTGCTTTTGTTTTTTTTTGCCCCCCTTCACTTAATCACAATACTTTGCTTTTCTTTTTACTTGCGTTATTTGTTTTTTTTTCCTTACGTTTTATTCTCCTTCTTTCTTTCTATTTTCTTTCTCATATCGCTCTTTAATCTAGTCGATCAACACATTGATTCTTTATTGAACAGACAATTTTATGCGCAAGGAAACTTCTTCTTCACAAATTATGATATTGCTTGTGGTCAATCAAAAAAGATAAACGGATAAATTTGATCTTCACATTCCGGTTGTTTTTTACGTGTCAATGCATTTTTACCTATGGATACATTGAAGAACACTTTACAGTATTCTTCATACTTTTGCTGTGTTAATGGCAAATCTTATTGTTTCTTTATTATTATTATTACTATTATTATTATATTATTATTAAATTAACTGTTTTCTATTATTGAAATCGGTGACATTATTTTTATTTTTCTACATATCGGAAACCAAGCGCGAAGATACATAATTCTTTCTTCGTAACATAAACAAGCAAATTACTATATGTTTTATCCAAACAGACAAATATACAAAAATTCGTTATGTTTCTTGTTTTTTTATATTTGTTATATTATCTCTGTTTCATATGGTTCTGGTACAAATTATTATTTTTTATGTTCTTGAGCAATAATTATATTTACAATACTCAATGACACGTATGAAAGAAGAAGTTATCATTATTATTATTATTATTATGTAAAACGGACCAATTAAAAAATAAATTATTTCTCCCTTGTAATTCTTTATACATTGTTTTTGTTTATTAACTTGCGTGTATAAGATGTGAAATATTATTTGTGTGCTTTGCATCTATATCTTTTTTTCCTTGTCTGTTATTCACTCATTCATCACACACAGTGTCACATTTCTTTTGTTCTTTTTTTTAATGCTTTGATGTGTTCTCTATTGTTCATTTTTTTTTCAAATTCACTTTTAGTTGAATTGATTAGATTAAGAGAGAAAGAGAAAGTGAATAATAATAATAAAAATTCGAAACACTTACAAAAAACACAAAAGAATTTATATGCTTAGCCAGCACATACATCTATACTTTAAATATTGGATCAATTTACATCTTCTATTTATCATAGACGAGCAATTACTGAATTCGTATGGATCGAATGTCTCTCTTTTTTGTTTTAATCCGATTTACTTCTATTTTATTCAATTCAATATTTTAATGTTATCCTAGAGTTGTAGACTTATATCACATAGATATTCGTGATAACATACATTGAATGAATATTTAACGTTATGCAAGATGTAAAATGAAAGAAATTACTCTTTACTCTTTTCTATAAAATTATATATGCAAATTGAATGTAGTGTTATATAGAGAGAAAGAAACGAATAACATCCATACACACTTGTTACTTTGATAAATCACACGTTATACCATAAAGGTGAAAAAAGTTAATGAATATACACAAGAGGTTAATCACATATACTCAACGAATATTATTTAGTGAATTACATAAACTGATATTTATTATCATAAGAAGTAATTTTAAAGAATTTTAGAATGTATTCTTTATGATCGATAAAAACAAAACTCGAACGAAATGTCTATATTAATACTTGTTGATGTACTTGAGTATGTTTTTATTAGAAAAATCAATAATACTTAGGGTTTTTCCCTTAATTATTTCTGCTTTATTTGATGATACATCTGGCTCTTTGTGATGATATATACTACGTTTTGTATATGTCAACAACATTGACTTAGATTTAGCGAGGTCGATATGTCTGTAGCTTTTATTTAGAATGATAATGATGATGATGATGACGACGCCGACGACGACGGTAACAACAACTAGTAGAGTAATCAATAACTAACATTCATAATAGATGATTGCTATATGGATAAGCATAAGCATTTATTATCGACGAGCGATGTCTATGTTGAAAGCTTCATTGCTTCGCTTTGATTCATTCTACAAATATCTTTGCATAGTTTTGTTCCTCTTTTGTACTATTACAGCATCGAAGAAAACAATAACTATATATATATATTGAGAGAAAAGAAAAGAAAATGCATATGCAATGTAGCCATTTCTTTTCTTATATATTTAGACATAATTTTTAGTAGGATAAAGACAGTAAGAATTAAAGTACAGGAGAGAATTTATGGTATATATTCACACATCCTTTTCGTATAAATAATTTGTATTCTCGTTTTCTTTTTTTTCTCTCTCTCTCAATAAGATGATGGTTGATATACTAATCGAAATCATACATGTCAAATCAAATTAAAGTTTTTGTTTTATTCGACAATTATTATTGCTTATATGTATACCTATCGAAAAAACGACGACAATAGAAATATATTCAAAGTGTAACATTTAAATTGGCACTAGACTGCTGGATATCAAGGTAAGCACATGGTATATATATATATATATTTCTATTATTATTACTACTACTGCGGCTAGTACCCTTATATTGAATTCACATGTGGTGATTTCAGTATATAAACGAAAGAGGAATGGATGCAAATGTTGAATTGGAAGAGAACGAACTATAACGTATAAAAATTTTGAAAAGAGAATAGAATTGACGGATCACATCAATTCGATAGTATTGAAATGAAGGCTTCTCACGCCTACTAAACTGTACTTATCAACTCGTCGATTTTTTTCTCTTTATATAAAAGGTATTTTCTTAATTAATTCTTAATAATAAAATAATAGATTTTTATATAATGATGATCTATTCAATATTGATTATTGTTCTGGAAAAAGACTTTATTTTTTTTCCTTGATATTACATCATTGATTATCAATGAATATGTTACTTTTTGCTACTATTTATTCTTTTAAGTATCGAATAACGAGACATACGAGTTTATCAATTATTTTATTTTTACATAAAAAAAATATCATTTTCAACTTGAATGTTAAGGAAAGAAATTTTGTAAAATTTAGTATTATAAATAATCTTATGAAAGGCGTTGAAAGGTTTAGTGTGTTATTTTTTGTGTAACTATAAAATGATTGATGGATTTGTTTGCCTCGTTATTTCATTATTTCATTAGACCTGTTGAGTATCCAACTGAGTGAAAGGGGCGTGCCATTTGGGATTTCTTTTTCTATGTTATTTTGATAATGAATAACAGCAAGATAAAAAGAAAGAATAAGCAGTAGTTTATATGTTCATTTGGTCTTTCACGTTGACTTTTTTTTTTATTCTTTATTTATCTATCTATATAAATAATAATTCCTCTTTTCTTACAAGTCAATAACGAAAAGAAATGACGATCTGTAATAATACTCCCGTCAACTTTTTCGTCGTCATTTATCCTTCCTTTACATCGTCTCGTTGTCGTCATCTTTCGTCTACTTCATACACACACACACGCACACATACATCCACACTGAAGTGTAACAGAATGAAAAGAGCCTCTTATATGGTTTTAAGTTCATAAAACGAGCAAAGAAAGATATGAGGTGATCGATTTCGTTTCATTACCTGTCTTCTTTTGCTGTATTTCTTTTTTTTCTCTCATGATATACTTTCACATTCTGAATATATAAACGTTTGTCGGAAAATGGTAACATACGTTGATACAGTGATACCTTCAATAGATCCAGCAAAAATTTTTTATTACGTACGAGAAGAAACAACATTTACATATGACAGAGATGATAATAACAATGATACCGTTTCAACACGAACAGGTAATTTTTATTTAAAATAATTAATAAAAAAAATAAGAGGAGAAATAAAATTTATTGATTTCTTTTTCTTCTATATCGAAAGAAAGAAATTACTATCAAAGTTTAAATTTATACTTTAATCCTACTGAGTGTACATAGTCATTTGAGAAGAGAATAGCTATATATATATATATATGTTTGTCTAAACAATTATTGTTAGAGATAGAAGACAAGTGTTTCGTAAGTTAAGTGAATATTTTAATGTTGACTGTCTTGTCTTTCTTTCGTTTTATATCGGTCTAATCCTTGCCTCTCTTTCCAAATAATCCTCTCTTTCTGTATTAGTCATATGAACATCATCATCATCATCATCCTCCTCCTCCTCATCATCTTCATCTCTCGACAGCAGGAAAAAAGTCTGCTGCTATGTAGATAGCATTCGTAGCATCATTTAATATGATTGCGACTGATCACCTTGTCTTCTTATGCACGTATTGTATACGTTATGGGAGTGTTCGTGTTCCTCTCATTTTCTTTTTCTTATTCTTTTTTTTCTGCTACTACTGTTGTTATTGCGGTAGCAGTAATGGCTGCAAGACGGTACTGCCTCATCTTCTCGTTCTATATATACATCTTATATATGGTCGAGATACGTGTACACTAAATAAAGGAGAGAGAGAGAAAGAGAGAGAGCAAGAAAGAAAGAGAAAGAAAGAACAAAAGAAGAAAGGCGATAGATGGAATTGTACAGTGACTGGAACAAATTCCTTCTGTTTTCTCCGTTATGTGAATAGACATATATTCGTCTTCCGCATCTTTGCGTCTTTCTCTCGCAGTGTAACCAAAGATAAATGTTTATTTTGTACGTCAAAGCTCAGTAAGAAAAGAAGAGCAAGAATTCATCTTGCCTACATAGCAGAATATTACTTAAAAAGTACTATATTATGATTCAATACATTAATAGTCAATATATCTTATACTATAGACTTTTCTTACATTTATTAATTGTTTAGAAAAAATGATGGGTAAGACGAAGAATTTGTTATTTTAAGTATAAATGATTATAAATTTTCTTTTTGTTTCATTTTTAGACTCACCCGAGATTATGAATATCAATCAATCAACAATTTCTTCTTTATCTCGATCAACAAATGATCCTTTACATGACCAACATACTACAAAAGAAGAATCACATTTTGAACATAGTTTACCTGAAAGTTATCATCATTCATCATATGAATATCTTTCGTCTGGTAATGGAACAGGAGGAATAGGAAATAATAATAATAACAATAATCAAATACAATCTTCAACAAATCTTTCGTCTCATCATCGAACATCATCTCCTCCACAGAAATATTCTAATAAGTATGTCACATCATCTTCCTACAGTCCATCATCTTATCGATATCCACCAGCACCGACTATCGATGAATCAACACTTAGTACTTATTCAATGAATCGTTCAACACAAGCACAAATATCATCAAATTCACTTTCAGCTTATGTACCTCAACATAATAATAATAATAATAATATGAATCGACATTCATTACTTCCAACAGCAACAGCAACAACAACAACAACAACAACAGCAGCATCAGATGATTCAGGAAACGAATCATCTGTAAATTATCATCAACAATTAACAAACAATACACATTTTGTTGTTGTTGCAATAGATTTTGGCACTACATTTAGTGGTTATGCATTTGCATTTACACGCGATATTGATTCAATTTTAATGATGCGTAAAGTCGACGGCAATGATCCCGGTTCGTTTCTTCTTTCTTGTTTTTTTCTTTATCAATATTTACTTTTCGTTTATATACATATATTTTTTTTCTGTTAATAGGTGTAATCAATCAAAAAACGCCGACGACAATACTTTTAACGCCAAATTTAGAATTTCATTCATTTGGTTTTTTTGCACGAGATTTTTTTCATGATCTCGATCCAGATGAAGCGAAACGTTGGCTTTATTTTGAAAAATTTAAAATGCATCTTCATTATACACAAGTAAGAAATGCGGGCATAGATTTTCTTTTTGTTGTTATCTATTAGAAACCTTCAACAAACAAGAGATTTGTTCTATTATAGAATAGAGGTTAGAATCATTATGCAAGAAAATAGCAACATATATATATATACACTCAATAGATCATCTGTTACATCATCGAGAACAGTATGATAGAAACTGACGACCGTTTAATAGAGCGAAGAAGAAATGGCACAATCTCATAATTAATATTTTTGTCTTCTTACGATTTGTTGTTATTTTATGCTTCAATCATATAATTACGCTTCTTCGCTTGAGAGCGAAACAAAGAAAGAGAATGACTTTTGCTAATGAACAACAGATATAAGCAGCTGTTCGAGTAAACAATGCACATGTCACTTTCTTTTTTTTCTCATTTTTTTTCTTCCCGTCAATCTATTCACTAAAAACAATATACAGAGATAACTACCAATACAAACCTACAACATATTTGTGTTCGCTGACGCGAGTGCAATTAAACCTAACAGCTGTGTGTGTGTGTATGTGAACATAGTTATATAATCAATTTTATTTTTCTTTTTTGAAACTTTATCAAATTACTAAATCTAATTTAAATAGGATCTTAATACTCAAACATTAATTCCTGCAAGTAATGGTCGTAAAGTTCCAGCATTAACTATATTTACATATGCATTACAATATTTTAAAGAACATGCTTTACGTGAACTTAGTGATCAATCAGGTACAAGATTTGTTAATGAAGATGTTCGATGGGTTATTACAGTACCAGCTATATGGAAACAATCAGCTAAACAATTTATGCGAGAAGCTGCTTATCAAGTTTGTTATTAATTGAATAAGTTTATTTTTCTAGACGAAAAAAAAAACAATTTTCTTAGGCTGGTATTGCTTCACGTGAATTTCCTGAACAATTACTTATTGCTTTGGAACCCGAAGCAGCATCAATATATATACGTAAACTTCGAATGCATCAATTTGTTCCTGATGATACACCAACATTTTCTCGTAATACAGTACGACGTGATCATGGTTTATTTTCATCATCAATATCTGATCATTCATCACCTATTCTTCTAGATCCAGAAAAATGTTTGTTGACACAAAAAAAATTTCTTTTTATAAATATTCATTTCATTTAATAGTATCAACTGATCATAGTGAATCATCGCATTTAAATAATCAAGCATTTGAATTAGTACTTGATCGTGGTACTCGTTATATTGTTGTAGATTGTGGTGGTGGAACAGTAGATATAACTGTGCATGAATTAGATAATAAAATGGGTACATTAAAAGAATTATATAAAGCAACAGGTGGACCTTATGGTTCAGTTGGTATGTTAAATGAATTAAAATAAAATTTATCTTCTTTTTCAATTAAAAAACTTAAGGTGTGGATCAAGAATTTGAAAAATTAATGAATGCGATATTTGGTTCTGAAACAATGGAAGAATTTAAAATGAAACGACCTGCTGGTTATGTTGATTTAATGATTGCATTTGAAGCACGAAAACGAACAGCTAGTCCATTTAAAAACAATTCATTGAATATATCATTACCATTTTCATTTATTGATTTTTACAAGAAGAAAAAGGTGAATTGATTGATTTGAATTTATTTTTATGCATGTTCCTTCGATACGAAAAGAAAAAACCAAAACAGAATAGTTTTGATCTTTCCTATTTTGCTTGCGATTTTATTTATTCTTTTCCTTTGTAACCCCTTCCTTAGCACATTAGTTTTAGAGAGATGATTAAAAAAATTAGTTACCATAAAACACGTCTGTATCCTTAGTTATTGTCGAGTCTTCCTCTGAAAACTCAAGTGCGTGCCTATGTGGCCAAACTCAACAAGGTGGGGAATGGATGTTTGATATATATGTATTTAATATCTTTTTAATTTCTCGCGTTTTTTTATTGATTTTTATTATTTTTGTTGTCTGTCTGTTTTCCCTATTTCTGTGTGTGTTGCGAATCGAATATTATTGTAGCTTTTTCTTCCTGCACTTCTTATCTTTAATGAATCTATAGAATATTAGAGAAGATCTTCAATTAGAGAAGAACACTTTGTCCCTAATTCATGCATGAATATTTGATATTTTGTTCTTGTTGTGGAAATCGACAAGCATGAAAAAAAAAGAAAACATACTGAAATTTTTATAATGATTAAAACAAATTTTTTTGAATTTTTATATACAGGGTTCAACTGTTGAATCAGCTATTCGTCGTTATAATGATCCAGATATAAAATGGTCAACACAAGGAATGATGAGATTAACACCAGAAGCAATGAAACGTCTTTTCCATCTAACAATTGAAAAAATTAAAGCAACAATTGGAGAAGTTTTAAATAGTCCGGATGTTAAAGGTACATATATAAATATTTTCAACTAAAAAATAATTATTCTATATATATAAAAGGTATACAATATCTCTTTCTCGTTGGTGGTTTTGCTGAATCACCAATACTTCAACATGAAATTCGTCGATCTTTTTCATCTATTCTCAAAGTTATTATTCCTCAAGATGTCTCATTAACTATTTTAAAAGGTATTAAAATTAAATCGAATATAAGAAGAAGAAAAACAAAGCATATTTATAGGTGCTGTTCTATTTGGACTTGATCCAACTATAGTAAATGTTCGTCGTTCACGTTTAACATATGGTGTTTCTGTATTGAATCGATTTCTACCGGATTATCATCCGATTGAGAAGAAAATTATTAAAGATAATAACGAATGGTGTGCTGATATATTTGATAAATTTGTTCTTGTTGATCAATCAATTGGTCTTGGTGATATTGTTATAAGAAAATATACACCAGCAAGACATAATCAAGCACAATGTATCATATCATTCTATTGTTCGGAATCTGATAAACCAGTATATGTAACGGATTTAGGAGTGAGAAAAATTGGTAAGTAATTTGAATCTAATTTTCAACAAAAAATATTTTATTGAATTTATTTTTGTTTAGGTACACTTGTTCTTGATATGTTTCATGATGGATTTCCGTCTGATCATCATAATTCTTTAATGAATAATAAAAATCAAAGACGTGAAATACAAACTCGAATGGTTTTTGGTGATACTGAAATAAAAGTGAGCGCATTGGATGTTTCAACAGGCAAATGTGTTCGAGCTACAATCGATTTTTTAAATAAATAATCATATATTAACAGTATCATTGTATATATACATATTTATGATCTAGAGAGTCGCTCTCAGGGCATCTCTACATATTGACATACAGTCAAATATTGATCAGTAGAGAATGAATTACAGAATAAAAAGAAAAATTCGAACTTTAAGTTATTTTCATTTGATTTGAACGTGTTTTTGTTTTTCTTGTGTGATTTTTCTTTTTGCTTTAATTTTTTTTTGTCTTTTCTTATTTGAACATGTAGTCCGCTTTTTTTGTTTATCTTTGTAAGCAATATGCATTTCTTTTTTTCTTTTTTTGTTATTCGAAAAAAAAGAAGTAGAATATATATGTGGAGTAATGCTATATAAAATTCTTCTTTTTTTTTATACGTATATGCAATATGTTTTGTCTATCTCTCTCTCTCTCTCTTCTTTTCTTCTAAACATTCATCATCGTGCGCTATAATTTCTCGATTCTTTTTTGTTCTCTTTTACTTATTCAGTTTTCTTTTTGTTTTTGTTGATTAGACAGATAATATTTCACTAAAATGAAATGAGAGTAACGAACACAAGAAATGAATATTATGTATAATTGCAATGTTGATAAATTTTAATTAATGAGTACCAAATATAAACAATAGGTACAAATCTTTCTTACTGTGTTTCTCATCGTTTGATGTTCGGATATATTCAATACCATATGTTTACTCGATCTATTATAGAAGTACAATTAGATGAAATGGCGTGTACAATCATGTCGAAGCTATGATAAAAAATATTATTGATTTTTTTACCGCATTATGAGTAGATATGTATCAAATTTAGATATATTTAAGTTTGATTCTTGTTAGGTTCGGAAAAGATATGCCTGTTAGATCAATTCTTTTAGGCATAAACAAATAGTTCTTTGACCATGATAATAATCATACTGTATATATGGAATATTATACATGTAGTTTGTTTATATCTATAAAAAAAGTAACCTTCTTTTTACATTAATGTAGTTCATGTGGTGTTTGTGTTATTATCATTTTTAGTTAATCATTGAGTATCGGCTGATAAGAATCCTTTTTATATAACTACAATATGTCTTCTTCCTTTCTATTAAATTAGATAAGTATATATATATGTATCGTAAAATATTAATATGATTACGGTAACATCAACATGTAAGAAACACGTTTTAATTTGTTTATCCTTCGAACTGTTTTATTCGATAATTATTTGTCCATTCAGTCTATACTTCGACATCCATAGATCACCAAATTATTCGAAGATTATTTAATTTAACTATTTATCGATTTAGATGACGGATAATCGTGAATCTGCTATTGCTTATTTTATATCAATAACTCGTTGTCTACGGGCTGATGCAATACAATGTTTACAAAAACATAACTGGAGACTTGATCAATCTCTCAATTTATTTTTTGAACATGAACATAATCAAATAAAATCAAATATACATTCAAAACGTATCGATGCACCATATCAACAGTACGAAAACAAACTGAATGCACGTGCTTTTGATCTTGTTCCCCTCTCGTCTAGATCGTCACCTAAAACAATTATCATACCAACGATGATCGAATTTCAACGGTAAGAAAATAAATAAAAACTTTTTAAATTTAATGTATATTCATAGATTTATTGAATTATTTCATACTGATACAATAAATCTACTTGAAAATTCAACTAAAATGATGAATTTAGCAATGAAATATGCAACGTGTAAACAAACAACTATTCCATTAAATCAAATTGAACATTGGAAAATTCATTTAAAAGTTGATTATACACGTTTACAAACTCTACTTGATAATGATATGTGTGCACCATTAGTTTGGATTGAACATTTTGAACATTTATTAAATGGAAATATTTGTCAATTATTTGATTGTGATTATATGTTTAATATAATCGATTATAAAACAAAAGTAGAATCATTTTCCTAGACTTGTTTTGTCTTTTATTTTATTTAAAAAATAAAAAGAAAGAAATTAATCAAGATTTTCTTGCCATAAAACACGTCCTTCCATACCACCATGTAACATTAAAACATTTCCTGTTAAATGTCCAGCTGTTTTATTTGAAGAAAAAAATAAACAAGCTTGTGCAACATCTTCGACTGTAGCTACTTTTCGTAATGATGTTGTTCGTAAAGCTTTTAAATGTTTGCCTTGTTCAATTGAAGTTTCAGCCATTGGTGTTCGTGTCCATCCAGGTGCAACTATATTACATCTTGCATGTGGAATTATATTAACAATTTCATTTTTTAAAGATTTGATAAAACCAGAATGAAGTGCACCTTTACTTGTAGCATAATCAATATGATTTGCTTCACCAAATTCACCTGCTGTTGAACCAATGAAAATTAAACTTGCATTGACATTCTCGATATCAGTTGTAGGTTTTAGACGTTTTAATTGTCGACACCATTCACGTGCATAGAGAAAATATGCTGTTAAATTAACATCAAGTGTACGTTGCCATTGTTCAAGTGACATTTCCCAAATTGGAAGATCGTCATCAACATAAACAGCATGATTGACAATACAAACATTAATAAGACCAAAATGAGAACAACTTTGTTCAATACCTTGTTGTACAGCTTGTTCATCAGCTGCATTTACTGATAGAGCATAACATTGGTCAGTATATTTCTCAAGTAATGGAGTTAGAGTATTAACTGTACGATTATAATGTAGAGAAACATTAGCACCTTGTTCAAGAAATAAACGTGCAAGAGCAAAACCAATACCTCCTGCAGCACCAGTTATTAAAACATGTTGGCCTTGCATTTTTTTTTTATTCTAGATATGATAACTGATAAGATATATATGAAATTAACACGAGAGAAAAACTCCTATTTTCATCGTGCAAGTAAAAGAAGACTCTAAAATAATTCATTGGATATAATGAAATTTGCGAAAATATCTTCCGTTTAATTAATTATATAAAATAGTGAATAGAATTATTTGATCAATTTTCAAAAATCACATACATATATAGATTTAATAAAAGAATAAATCATATATCGAAAGATGTCAGATATTGATTATCATCATGTCAAATTAATTTTAGGTTTAATATTTGACAGTAATATATTCTCATTATAGACAAATTATTTATCATATTCATCTTCTAATTTTGCGTTTAAGTATTGCTCTGAAGCGTTTATAAATCGCCTAATATTTATTAGCCGTATGGCTCAATGACTAAATATTGTCCGTAATAACCTCGTTCTTTTCTTTCCATATAGAAAGTACTATTTATTCTCTTAAATCAAACAACAGGCATTCTATTTATCATCATCACATATTACTTTTACGTTCTATAAACGATCTATACAATCAAATATGGGTAGTTCACATAGTGGAGTACGAATTATTGAAAATCCGGATGAACTCTACGAATATAATAAGAATGTTCGACCACCCGTATGTAAAATATCTTAATTGTATAAACAAAAACAATTCATTTGTTTTTTTCTTCTTCTTATATCCAGCATAAACCAGTACCGATAATATCTCATCCAGCTAAATTACATGAAGAAGCAAAAACAACAAAAGATATTCCATTAGACTGTAAGTTATTAATGTAAAAATAACAAATATTACATAAAATATATATCTAGTATCATCTTCATTGGGCCTCGATTATCCAGCAAGTTGTCCAAATCTTCTTTGTGGTTACATTCATATTAATTCAAATGAATCATTTAAACAAGATTGTGTTCTATCATGTACTTCTCTTTGTTTATATGTAATTCGTGGTCATGGTAAAACAAAACTATTCGATGAAGGTGAAGTTAATTGGTCAAAAGGTGATCTTCTTGTTGTTCCATATCAATTACAATCATTGGAACATTTTGCAAATGAAGATTCAGTATTTTATTATGTACATGATGGACCATTAGTTAAATATTTACGAGTAGTACCATCAGAAAAAGCTTTTTCAACAACAGTTTTTCGAGAAAAAGTTTTAAAAGATAAAGTTGAAAGTATTCGAGAAAAACCCGATAGTGAACATGCAAATCGATTAGGAACATTAATAGGAAATCCAAGTACAAGTGAAACAAAAACATTAACACATACATTATGGGCTTTATTAAATGTATTACCAGCTAATTCAATGCAAAAACCTCATCGGTAAATTCATTTTTTGTCTTAAATCATAAAAAACGAATATTTGTTATTTTTATATATAAAAGACATAATGCCGTAGCATTAGATTTAGTAACATATGCTCCAAAAGGAAAATGTTATACATTAATTGGAGATGACTTAGATGAAGATGGTAAAATTAAATCACCAAAACGTTTAGATTGGGAAACAGGTGCATCATTTACAACTCCACTTGGTATGTGGCATTCACATCATAATGAATCGGAAGAAGAAGATGCTTGGATTTTACCAGTTCAAGATGCTGGTCTTTCACTTCATCAAGTAAGTTTTCTTTTATTTATGAATATTAAAATGATGTTTGTTTGTTTTTTCTAAAAGGGTTTATATGATATTCGATTTGCAGATGAAGAATGGAAATATATAAAAGATAAACACGCAATTAAAAGTATCATTTATTGATTTTATAGAAAAAAAGCTTGAAGTTTTATTATAACATTTTAAATATATATGAAGTATTTTACATTAAATGAAAAAAGTATGAATCTTTCAAAAAGTAGATATTTTTCTATTAATGTCGAGTATAAACATAATCTTTAACTTCATCGACCATGATATTTTTCGTTTTAGTAAGTAATCCCATTAGTGGATGCTTTGCAGATAATGTTTTACTAGCTGTTTCTTCTGCTCGTTCCATATATTCTTTTGCTTGTTCCATATTTCCTCGATTTGTTTGTACGAGTGCAAGATTATGTAATGTACGAGCTATATCTGGATGATCACCTGGTAATGATGCGACTTGCATTGTCAATGCATCTTCGTATTCTTTTAGAGCCATATCATAATCACCAGCTGATAAATAAACATTACCTAAATTAACTCGAGGTAATGCAAGATTTGGATGTTTTGGTGGAAGTGAACGATCATAAATCTTTTTTGCTTTAAGAAATCGAATTAAGGCTTTACCATACTATAAGAAAAAAACGAAAATGAGATAAAAAAAATTTTGTCTTTCTTGTCTTACGTCTTGTCGTTCACAATCAATCGTGCCTAAATTAATTAATGTTCCAGCAACATCAACATGTTTTTTTGGAATACTTTTCTTATATAATTTCATAGCTCGGAGAAAACAATCTTCAGCTTTTAATTGTCTTCCCATTTCACTATAAACAACTCCAAGACCATTCAAAGTTTTTCCAGCACTTGCAGCACGTTTTGGTCGAGAATTCATATGCAAATTATATGCACGATTATAAGAATTAATTGCACGATTAAAATCTCCTTTTAAACGATGTGTACGACCAAAATTAAAAAAAATACAAGCTATTTCTTCATCATTAGGATTTGAAGAACTAAGAATTGTATCAAAATATCTTTCTGCTTTAGAATATTCACCCATCTCAAGAAGTAAATTACCAAACATAAGAACTATATTAGCTTCTGTCATTTTTTTCTTTTGATATTCCATATATTCAGCAGCTAAATCAGCACCCCTATCAGTTGCATGAACTTGTACACGCCATAAATCGTCGTCTTCACCATAATAACAAGAATCAATTTCAAATGATGCTCCTATATAACAAACGAGTACTAAATTTTTTAAATAAATTTTTTTTCATACCGATATCAACCAAAACTTCAGCTTCTTCTGGAAATGCTGAAAATTCTCGAATATCAGCAATAACAATTTTCGTAATATTATCTAAATCAACTGCATATTCGAATAAACATCGTGCATAACCTTCTCGTTTAGCTGATTTTGTTGCAAAACCATATGCAACTTCAAAATCACTACTTGTTGATAAATACCCATTTGTTGAAATTAAATTTCCAATACTTTGCTGAAAATTTGCGACTTCATCAAAACTTAATTTTAAACCACGATAAAGCTTCATAACACCTTTTGTTGTTTCTTTGAGTTTAAGAAATTTTAATTCAAGTTGTTCACTTAAATCCAAAATATAAAAACGAAATTGATATAATACATCAACATCTTCTGTACGAAGAGCTTTATTAATAAACCTAAAATTAGTCTTAAATATAGATGAATATTTTTCTTATTTTCATTAACATACTTATAAACGAATGTTTCTTTTGTATACCAAGGTATAGCATCAAGTGATTTATAAGTTTTATCAAAATCTTCAATATTTGATAATTCTGTTAAATTACCACGATAATATTCTCGAACTGTGTTAACCATAGTTTTTTTTGCTAAATCTGTTTTCGGCATATTTTTAATTACATTTTTAAATAATTGAAAAAATAAAAATGAACCAGCTTCTTTTGAAAGATCTCTTGTTGCTTTTTCTTTTTTATTATACATACTAAATGCAGCTGTTTGTTTTTCAAGTTCTTCACGTGATTTTTGTAATGTATCCGTAAATGTAGCATCACTATCACACCAATTAACAATATAACTATGTTGTTGTTGACTGATTTCAGCAACTGCATCAGCTGATTGTGAATAAATAAATACAGTATCAATTTGTTTTAATGATTCAATGCCTTCAATAAGAGCTGAAGATGGTGTACCATCGATTAAAAAAAATATTTTATTTGGTAATGGTGTCATATATTCTATACATTCAGTTTCATCGGTAAACATCTATAGTTATTTATTCGTATAGATATATTTTTTAAAAATAATATAAGAATTAACAAACCTGAAGGTCTTTGTCTAATGTAGAGAATATAGCAATGACATTTTCTTGTGGTGCATCACATACAAAATAAACAGCTTTTGTTACATCACTAGTATTGACGGGCTGCTCGTCGCTACGACCTCGTTCATCGAAATCATTATCACCTTCACCCTCGTCGAGATCTCCTGGACGACCTCCATCTCGTCTCTCACTTGTTTTAATCCATTTTTTGAATCTGGACATTTTGAGAGCGCAATAACGATGATGAAGTAATAATCAAATGATTTGCGTCGACCTGTACTTTGATTCGTGTCTATAGGTAAGTATCTGATTTTACTTTGATGCGCTTGAATGACTTGCATGATTCGAACGATTGTGTTAGAAGAAAAGACATCATATTACGCCATATTTTTTCATTAGAATAATATATACGACGTTTTATTGGGGACCTTAACCAATCAAATATTAAAAAAATAATGAATATTTTTATCGAATAACATATATATATATAAAAGCAATAAGTATTGATCGTTATAAAAATTATCAAGTAATTACTGCTCTATTTCTCGAAGTCGACTTGTCGACGCAAATTACTAATGTGTTAGAAAAGAATACTGATTCATGTTTATATTTCTAATTATCATTGAATCATATTTAGGAATTGAATTTTGAATTTCTAAAGAAATATAAAGATGAGATGCTTAAAGTGTCGCTCTCTTTTTTTAAATTCATAAAAAAATGTTCAATGAAAAGGAACAAATTTAGCGCATATTGAATAAGCTTCGAACATTGAATATTTCTCCTCTTATTTATATATTATCTGGAATTTATTCTTAATATCACATGACAGTAACATTGTGAAAACTGAAAATGTGATACAGCAGATATATATCATTGCAAACCGTCGCCTGTGGCGCCATCTATCATTGTTTTTATTCTATGATGATGATGAATTGAAGATAAATGTTGAGTTTATCAAGCTAGTTATCTCCATACTTGATATTTTTTGATAAAAATCACTTTTTGACATTGTGTTGCTAAGTAGCAAAATGATCGCAATTGTAAATGGTAGACATTGATGGCATATTTTTTTATTTTCGCTTACAAAAAAATTAAAGATGTCAACGTTGTCGATGCATCGACAACAACAGCAACAACAAATGGTTAGCAAAAGTCTTACTTTACCAAAAATACCACAAAATCTCGTGCCTGTTGTTCATATTTTAACATCAAGAAGTGAAAATGATGTTGGAAAAGTTTGTTAATTAAAATTTTTATAATATATTTTCAAAAAAATCATTCATATCTTTAGAAAGATGAACCATTTCCATTCGAAAAAATTATTAAATTTTTTCGCGATTCTCAGACAGTAATATTTGAATATCTTTTAAAAAAATCTATTCAATTTTTTTCTATCTTATTATTTTAAAGTCACATCTAGTCGATCGACGTATACGTTTTTGTCAAAAGTTATATCGACATCACAGAAATGGATATGTAAGAATTACTTATTGTTTAATTTATATTCTAAAAAAAGTGACTTTTTTTCTCCTGTTAGAATTCGAAAGATTTACGTCATCTTATGAAAATCTTCAATATCCTAGCTGATGATTGTGAAGAACAACCACTTTATATAAATCCATTTATAGAAATTCTCAAGAATTGTTCGAAACCATTTCTTTTGGATAAATCAACTGATGCAGAAATCTATGCACCTGTTTTAATTTCTTTCTATTCAGATTTTGGTACAAAAAATATATTTATTTATTACGTAACATTATATTTTACTTAAGGATATCTTCTTCGTATACCAAATAAACGTATTCAACAATGCATACTTGAAACACTTTATAAATCAAGTCAATTAACAAATAAATCGCCTATAGATGAGAATGATTATGATGGTATAAGACCAATAAGAATGGACTATTTATTACGATTACAATGTCACAGCGATCTTTGTGAAACACTTACTAAAGTAAATTAAAATATCATTGAATCTTTCGAATATTTTTCATTATGTTTTCTAGGCAATGTCCTTTTTCGAAAATGATTTAACACTTCGTATTTATGTAGTAAAATTATTACAGATTTATTCATCAAAATCTTGTATATATAATGATATTTTTTCAATCAATCGTATTATAACTTTTCTATTGTGTTTCTAGCTGAATGTGTAGCAAGAATGTTAACTCATGATTGTATCAATCGTTTATTATCAAAAATGAATGATCATGATCCAACCGGAGAGTAAGAAAAAATTATTATATTTTTTTACACATTAGAGAAGAGTAGTGCATTTATGTTATGTTAAAATTTCACTTAATGTAGCGTTTACATTATGCGAAAATGTTGCATGTTTACATAAAAAAATATTTACTTAAGAAAATGTTATTTTTAAAATTGCTTAGGCGTAAATGCAAAAAAAGTCTTTGAAAATAAGAAAAAGTACGTAGAATTGTAGTTACAATCGAATAATTATTATGAGCTTTCTTCCTTATCCAAGATAATTGATGATATACACTATTCTATTCCTAAAAATCTGTTGTTTATAGACTTTTATTTCGTACAATTGAATTATTATGGAATATACTTGAACAATGTGATGAAGAACAAATTAGTGATCAATTGGATTCACGTGTGACTATCAGGTTTGTTTTTGAATATTCATTGATCTCTAATGTGATTGATATTTAGTCTTCTTCAAGAAGCCTTTATTGGTCAAGCTACACAAACTCATAATCAATATCATTGTCAATTAAGGTTTTAATTTTTAGAAAATAAAAATTATTCTATTGAAAATTAATTTAGAAATGATATTCTTATTGTTTGTTCACTTGTGATGGGTCTCAAATCCGATGCTCCAGGTAAGGAGAAAGTTTTTATGTCTCAAACTAGAATATCTTCTTTTCTAGTGATTGAAACCGGTTTTGCTAAACAATTACTTTTATTTGCTTCTTATCCTGAAGGTAAATGAATTAAATTTTATCAAATATTTATTTTATTTTTCGTATTATTCAGTACGTAGTAATAATCCATTAGTAAAAAATTATAAATTTACAAAATCTGAAGAAGATTTTGAATTTAAAAAATTATTAATTAATACAACTGTTATACTTAGTCGAAATCCGATGATGAATGAAGTATGTTTAATAGTATTTATTTACGAAAAAAACAATATTTTCATTTTTCTCTTCATAGTTAATAACGAATAGTCGAGTTATACTCGCTTTATTATCTTATATTGAACCATTACCAAGAAAAAAATCTCCTGGAATAAATACATTTGAATGGTCGTTGTCACAAATAGAAGAACTTCAATTACATGCACTTACAGCTCTTTCAATTCTATTACCAAATTCATTAAATGAATATTTTGAATATCATACCGGTACAAGGCTTTTATTATTTTATGAATGGACAATAAACGATGGTAAGAAGATTCTTCTTTTTATTTTTAATTGCAAGATGTTTTTTTTTTATTTTAATTTAGATGAATTTAAAAGTCAAGGAAATAGTTTTTTTGGTAAAGGTGGTCGAAATAATAAACGATCACAATTAAAACATATATTAAAATTATTTCGTAGTATTGTATCAACAAAAGATGAACGTATTTTTATGGATTTATGTGATCAAGGAATGATTCCATTGATAACAGGTTTGATCTGATTTACTTTTCTTTTCTTATATTGTATCGAATTCTTTCTTCAAGGATATTTAAGACGTTTGATTCAAGAAAAATCCATGTCTATGGATACTGTTGATTTAGATATTATTTGTGATGGATTATTTATTTTAAGTTGTGTAGCTGAATCAGATGTTCATAGAAAAGTATGAAGAAAAATGATTCCTATGTAAGAAAACTTATTCTTTTATGTAGGAAATTTTTGGATCTGAAGGTATTGAAATATTAATTCAAATACTTCTTATGGAATCATCACATGTATGCGGTGGTCTTGGTTATTATCGTTTACTTGTTGCAGCTATTGATTGTGTATGGTGTTGTGTTGTTGGTAGTGTTATTAATGAAGATGAATTTATTCAAAAACAAGGTCTTTTCGCTTTATTAGATTTAATTGAAGTATATTTCAATAATTGATTTTTTCTATTTTTCGATTAAAATGTTTTTTTTTGTTTATATTTTAGTCAAATCCAAAATCTTTACAAAATATTATCCTGGGTTGTTTATTAGATTTAGCAGAGAATTTAAAATGTATTCATTTTCTCATGGCATGGCAAGGGCATAAACAACAACAATTTGTACATGTTCTTTGTGAATTATGGCGAGATGAAGAACGTGAAATATATGTAAGCATTAGTTTAATCGAATATGTCTTGAAATTCGGAGAGTAAAAATTCGGAAAATTTCCGATATCGTTCTAACAGCAGAGAATGATAATATTCTTTCATAAATGTTTATGGTTGTCTATGCCCATCATCATTATCGTCTACCGAGTTTCATTCTACTTTACTGTGCTCTGCACTTTTATTAGTAAATATTCACAGACGTGCACCTTGAGAGTGTGGGTGTTGTGTCCATGCTTTGTCTACACCCACACCTTCTAACTAAAGCCAGTACTTTTGCCAATAGGAATGTGACAGTTTCATTTCGAAAGAACTGAACCTGAGCTTTCGCAGTCCTACTTGTTAAACATTTCGAGGACGATGAGATCGATCGCGATGGATATCTCGTAGGACTTTCTTTATTGGTGGCTAGTAAAAAGTGAGCTACATCACTTCTCTTCAAATCAAATGATTTCTCTTCTTTCTTGTACATGGTTCTCTGCTAAATAAACTGTTGAATCTTTCTTCAAAAATTTTCCGGATTTTTTCTTCCGAATTTTGGGACAATACCGTTTAATCCAGTTTGACATATGAGAGAAACGCAAACCATTTGAGAATAGAAACAAAGTTTTCATAGAAGAGAGGATATGTTGAATTCATTGCCTCTTAATTATCAATAAAAACATCGATTTAGAATAAACAGAGATCCTATTTGATATAATTTTTCTTAAAGGTTTCTCGAACAGCAAGAGGTGTCATCAGTGATCCTACAAAGCCTTTAATGGGTGCTCTTCAACAATCAGTACCAATTGTGCCACTTAAACGTTCCGAACCATCAAGATCAGTTTTAGATTTAATCGATAATATGCGTTCAAAAATCTATGGATTTTTTTGTAAAATTGGTTTTGGTCAATTACCTGGTTTACACGAAGAAGATTTTGTAACATTATGTATAATTGAAAATTTCTTGGATTTTAAGATGGGTGAAATCTGGCAAGAAATTATGACTGAACTTGAAATGGAAGGTACTAAATTAATTTCAACAGATACGGAAGCAACTGATACGATTTTACAAGCAACTCAAGAACGTGTATTAGGTAGGAGAAGAAAAAGAATTAACATTAAAATCTAATGATTTATTCTAGCTGTTGCTGCAACACAAAATTATATCTTAGAACAATATAATAAACAAGATTTACAAGAAGAAAAAGGATTTTATGATGATGTAAGAGATAAAACTTTGGTTTAGTTTAATAAATATTGTATTTCGTTTACAGATAGTAAGAAGTCATCAATTTAAAGAAAAACGACTTGAACAATGGAAATCATATGTTGCACGAACATCGAAATATCCATTGTTA